TTATAACATATATATTTACCATTAGGTTACATCGTATTCCTAACTTGCCTTGTGAAAACAATTTATTTATTTAAAGAAAAACATCACGTTATACTCACAACCATTAAGGTAAAACACATAACATATCTGACAATAGAGAAAATCAAATAAATCATGAAATGCTCATATTTTCGTATCATGTTTCGCGAAATCGTTACAACTTCCATCTCTAAGAGTAAATACAGATTTTCAACTACCCATGTGGAATGAGCAGATCAGATACAGATAACGACAATTTGCTTAAACACATTTCTGGTTTACCAAACTATGGTACGATCTCTGACGACGGCCGTACCAACCATAGTGGTCTTATCAGATATTCTACAGTCACGACAGTATTTAGGCAAAGGTAACCCTTAACAGATATTCATGTTACCATTCTCGCTAAAGGGTACGCCGACGTGCATAGGGAGCGGCCCTCTTACGTCTTTCCAAACTAGATGGGGAAGGGGAAAAATAAATACCCTGGATGGGGATGGGGATAGGGAAGCAGATACCCCTCAAAGATAAAAAGTCTAACGAAATATTTGATACGTTATACATGTCAAAACAGATACATATTTCGGACTATTCATGCTTCATTCCACCTTTTTTTTTTGTTATTTTTATTTTTCAGATAACCTTACCGGTTTCATATTATTTTAATTACATGCAAATCATCAAGTGTTTACGACTCACATAGCATGCTTGAAATCAAGAATAATTCAATTTATTAAGTCTACACAAAACATGCAAAACAGGAAAAATCACAGAATTATCAATTTAATCTTTTCTTTTTGTTTAAAAACACCATTTAAGACGTTTAAATAAATACTAAATTTTTTACCGAAATCTTAATAATTTCTTCTACATAGTTCTTCTCTTCTTTCTCTCCTCTCTTTCTCACTAACTCTTGAAAGGTGAAAGAATGGTTGTGTGGAGAAAATGGGAGGAAAGACTCCTATTTATGGAAAACGGGAGCTTTTGGATTTGCGCCAAGTGGCAAAATCCGGTGAAGAGAGAGAGTAAAAAGATGCTTGGCATGAAAAACAGAGAAAGATCTCCACCGACGGCGGCACCACAAGACCAAGGCGGCACACTACCCGAGGCGGCAGTGGCCTCACCCGTTCGGCACGCGTGTTGCAGGCCTAGCCTGCAGGCACCGGGCTACCCTGTCGCGCGCAAGAGTTGGCCTACGTGCACGCAGGCCCCAAGCGCGTAGGCCTATCCACGCAGGCCTGCTGTGCGGATGGCCCGCGCACAGTGTGTCGCCTGCCTGTCCGCGCACAGATGGGTCCTTCCTATGCGCGACAAGACGCATGCATAGGTCTGTCCTTCGCACTGCGCGCAATGGGATGTGTGCACTGTGCGCATGTCCTGTGCCTGTCGCGCCCCCGCAGGCAGCCCATTCCCGAGGGATTTTTCTCGTGGGATTTTTTCCCCCTGTTTTCTAGATTTTATTTCTTAAAAATCATTTATTTTTAAAAAAGACGATTATATAATAAAATTAGATAAAATTAAAATTAAATAAAATTAAAATAAATAAACATCGGCATAATTTACGAATTACGATAATAAACTGCGGAATAAAATAAATGAGTTCAGTGTGGCCTTAAGTCCCGAATAATTAGAATTTTTTAAATACAAATTAAGCACAATAATGAGCTGGGTGTTACAAATACACCCTTTTGTTGTGTCATGGAAGTGGCCTTCTATTCTAGAAAATATTTGAGGTTTCTTTGATCAGCTGAGCTCCTTCTGAGTAGTGGGCCATTTAAAACTAGACACAAGACCGTAATAAACTCCCTTTCATAGATTGGTCTTTCTTGATTACGCAAGCACAGGGCCTTCCTGATGAAGGCAATTGCCACTCTTTTTGCATTAGTACTGCTCCTATACCTCATCCACTTGCATCTGCTTTTACAGTGAATTGTTTTGTGAAATTGGAGAGAAGCAGGACTGGACTATTGGTCATAGCTTCCCTGAGTTGCTGAAATACTTGTATAGCTTCCTTAGTCTATGGAAAGCCTCCTTTTTGAGTGGGTTTGTGAAAGGCTTACTAATGACACCATAGTTGGAGATAAACTTGCGAGTTAGGCTAAGAAAACCTGCAGAGCCTTCACAAATTTGAGCTGCAACCAGCTGACTGTAAGACTTTCTTGGATCTATTCTGATACCCAGTTGAGAAATAAGGTGCCTAAATACTCTATTTGATGCTGCAAGAAAGAATTACTTGGCAAACAATTGGTGTTTTCATAGCAAGGTCAATATTTTTTCCAATTGCTCAAAGTGCTCTTGGTCATTGAGGCTATAATTAGAATGTCACCAAAAAATATCGGCACAAATATCCAAAGGCAATCCCGGAAAACACGATTCATCGGGGCTTGAAATGTTGCTAGTGCGTTAGTTAATCCAAATTCATCACTTTGAATTCAAAGTGCCCATTATGTGTTCTAAAGGCAGGTCTTATGTATGTCCTCCCTCATTTTAATTTGGTGATAGCTTGCCTTTAGATTGATCTTAGAAAAAACTAAAGTTCCACCAAGTTCATCTAATAAGTCATCAATGATTGGAATTTGAAATTTATCCTTTGCAGTGAGAGAATTGAGTTCACTGTAGTCGGCATAAAATCTTCAACTTCCATCTTTCCTCTTGACCAACAAAACCAGACGAGAATCAATTGTTACTAAGCTAGATTATCAATCTTCTAGCATTTCCAGAACTTGCCTCTCTATCTCATTTTTTTGGAACAAAGCATAGCGATATGACCTTATATTGATTGGAATGTGGTTTGATATCAATTAGATGGCATGATCATAAGGCCGATTGGAAGGAGGCCTTCAGGCTCCTCAAAGATGCCGCTGTAGCTGTTTAATTGCGACCTAGATTGCTCCTAATTCTTATCTGTTTCCGGGGCCCTCAACTACTTGAGACTGGTCTTCTGTTTTCAATTATGTGACCATCACATAGAAACAACTCCATCATCAATAGATTATTCTTTTTAATGACCCTCTTCACACCACCTTCAATTGTGCTAACTACCTTGTTTGTGCACTCCGCTCCATTCAGGAAAACTTTCATACCTTCGTAAGTGAACTTTACTGTAGACTTGGTGAAATCAAACACCATCGGACTATACTGTTTCATCAAATCCACCCGGTGTCACATAATAGCCTCTAAGTCCAATAATCCTGAAAATATAATGGAAACATAACCTTGCATTACCCAAGCCACCTTGGGGCTCTCCTCCCTACTAGTAATCTTTTTTCCGTTGACTACCATCACCTTATGCAGCTTCTCACTCATGAACTTATTCTTGATGAACTTCGCGATGTTTCCATCAAGAAAAGGATGGGATACCATTTTCTAGGAAGTATTACCATGTGTTGTACTTCCAACACTCCTCTAATATTGAAGGTACCACCCACAACAACCCCTTCCAAGGCCTAAAGGAATAAGGTGCCAATATTTTCTTCCATCTCAATCAATCCAAAGTCCTCAGGTCCACCATCATCGATTTCTTCAGCTTCTTCTGTTTCCTCTACCGCCATAATGTTTTTGGTCCTACAAAGTTGACCAGGAAAGTATCTACCTCCATACTGGAAACAAGCTGAGGGACTCCTTTTAACCTCCACCTCCTTCTGGAAACTAGGTGTTGAGGCTTGTACTTGTTTTTCTCATTTGACCAGCTATTTGTGGCTGTCCAATTTGGACAGGAGTAAGATGAGCTCTTTCCACCGAAATTCTGACTTTTAACAATTTCAATTATTGACAGTTCCTGCAACAAGGCCCGTCCAAAGGCTTAATTCAAGGATTGAGGCTCCAACAATCTAATCATAGACCTTAGTTCTGGTTTTACATCACTAATGAAGTTAGAGAGATAAAGAGTCACTCTGACAAAGTAGCATTATCGATTAACATAAGCGCTCTGAAATGTTTAAACTGTTTAAAATACTCTAGAATCGTACCCACCTAAACAAGCTCATTCAACTCTTCCATGAAATCCCTTCTATCAGCCCTTCCAAATCGACTTCATAAATCCTCACCAAATACTTCCAATTCTAACTCCTTGTTCTCAGCTAACCACCCCCGGTACTACAAATCAACTTCTCCCAAGAACATAGATGTACTTTCCATAATCTGATCATCAGGAGTTCTATTCACAAATTATATTTAAGGCACCTCCTAACCCAAGCTCTTGGGTTGGTACCTTCGAACATAGGTATCTCAACTTTGGGTAGCGAAGAGTTATTAACGTTTTGCACATGGCCCTGGTTACTACTTCCTCTGGCCTCATGCAACATTAGTGTAGGCAATACTCCTTTATCAAACTGAGTAGTAGTTGGTTGTGGAGTTACCTGACTGTTCGATTTGGTTACACACACATTGTCGCACAGAATGACCACAATCTGATCAAACTGTTGACGATGGTGCTTTTGTGACTCGAACATTTCGGTCATCAATTCCATTAGCTTCTATTGGACATTCTTGACTGACTCATCTAGTTGTTGGAATCGATGCTGCTCAGCAAACACCGATTTCCCTTTGGTTCTCATCATCGCGGCCATAGAAGCTTGCGTTGCCGAGGAATCCAGCTCCTCTGATGCTACTTTATCAAGAGCCTTGGTCATTTAGCACTAACGAGTTGACTCACAGCAATGGACTGTGTAGGATTTGGGAGAATAACAGAAGAAGAGAGGAGACTTTAGAGAGAGAAAATTCAGATTCAAGAGAGGAGAGAGAATTTGAATTTCTGGCATGATCTCTGAGTTGCTACAGCTCCTACTTATATTCCAATTAAAAGAACGGGAATGCTATGAAACAGAATAAAATTCTAACTTGACCCTACCAACTTGCTCACACAAAAAACCAAAATAACCCTTTGGTTTACACCTTAGTTCCAAGCCTAAAATATAATTTTAAAGGCTTACACAGGTTACTTGAGCTGACAACATTCTATCTACTGGATATGGAACTTTTACCAAATATTAATTTAAGATTCCCAGGTTCTCCAATAATGATATCAGTTGCTCGGTACTGATCGCCAAAAGCATGCCTTCCTATGCAGATTGGCTTGGTCCAACCTGAAAAGGAGATTCATTTTAGCCTATTTATAGTAGTAATGGCAAAGAATAAATGCATTAAGCAAACACTACATACTTGGCACCAGCCGAGGGACATTTCTGCAGATAATTGGTTCTCTAAAAACTGTGCCTGCACTTCATAGAAGACAAACAGATTCACTATTAGTCCAGAATCCTGAAGGAATAGCAGGAAAAGATACCGTTAGGAGAGGTTTATCAACCATTCAAAATGTTTCGAATTGTTCCATTTGGGCTCTTCCACATATTTTTCAAGTTGAACTCCTTAACACGTGCCTCATCTATCACAAGTCATAGAATTTTGTAAGATTATTGATATTTAAAAATAATTACCAAGAATCCATTAGCACATTCTCTAAGATAACTGCATGATTACTGCATGATTAGTATAAGGCATACCTGGGGTGATAGTTGCACACTTAATTGCAACATTGTACCTATAAAACAGGACAGAAAAAGAACACAATGACATATGAGGAACTGACAGGTGAATTTTCAGAAAACATAGAAATCGAGAAGCAAATGATCTTCCTTGAAGCACTGGCTGAAGCTTAAAAAAAAGAATTAGCAGAAAAAAAATTGTACCTTGCAATAATAAATTTTCATTCTCTGCTGTAATACTTACCAACATCTATAGTGTTTAGAAAAGTTGACCTCAAAGAAACTTACCATATTAAAAAAAATTCCATAAAAAAATAATTAGCACTTACTTTAGAGTAGCTTCAGCACTTTCTATCGTAACTTTATCATCAGTGGAATCACGGTTAGGGAGACCAAGGTCAAAATACTTAATATCCAGCTCTAGAAAAGGGAAAATAAGCTGTAGAACACCAAATCTAGTTAAAATAAAAAACAGGAATAAGAAATATAAGAATGCTACAAGAAGAATTACCTTATCCTTTATGGACTTCCAAAAAACTCGTGTCATTTCATCTCCTGTATTTGAGACACAAGAAAAGTCAGTATGTGCCCAATAATGGATAGAGAAAAGAAAAGATAATGAATTTAATTTATCAAATCCTCAGGTAAAGAAATGTGCAGACATTGGAGAAAGATAAATACCTAAAACTCATAGCTTTCGAAATAATTAAGTTGGATGCCCAAGCATACATATTCAATTCATAACAAAACTCATAAAAGAGCAGAAATGTTAGTAGATGGAAAGAGCCAAAGAAAAACAAAGGGAGAGGAAATAAGGAACCGAGAAGATTAGAATGCCCAGTGACTATGGGAAAGGAAAGGCCGTGAAGAAGTTAGAAGCATAATTGATGCAGGATGATTAGCGGTTAGACTAACTTGTCCCCCAATTTATTCAGAAATGATGAAATTTAGGTGATAACAAAAAGATATAGTTAGTCCTGAAAAGTTAAGAGATTAAGGTAAAGAAATATAGAGAGAAGTAGAATGAACGAGACAGGTTAGATAAAATCATAACCGGAATAATGAACACAATTTTAGTACGCAGCCTATTCAAGACATTAATAATAGATACAAGCTTGATTACATAAAAATACATAAATACTTTTTAAT